TCCCCCTCCTCCTCCACCAGCTCCCTTCTCCCCCTCCTTATCCCCCTCCTCCTCCACCAGCTCCCTTCTCCCCCTCCTGTTATATAGGCGATATAGTTTCCGGTTCGTTTCGTGCTGCGGTGAAGCTTGAAGGCAACGTCAGACTTGTCTCTGTGTCTCGTGCGATGTGAGTCGTTGACGATGGAGATCACAGAAAAACCAACACGTCTTTATGGTAACTGGTTATGGTAAGCTGTCAAACTTTTATTGTGGTGGATTTTAATTGGGGTGGAAGTAATTTAAACGGGGCGCAACGATTGAAACGTGGGGGTAGTTTTCCCAAACGGAGCGGGCGCGCCCGGTTTGCGCAACGTGGGGAAAACCCTGCATTACATCTGATGTCCAGTTTTGGATTATCCCTGAGTTTGTGTTTAGTTCCAAAAATAATACTTTCTGTTTTTCCAAGATGAAAGGATAAATTATTGTCATTGAGCCATTTATTAACGGAAAGCAATTCTCTACTTAATTCTTCCTGTATAACCTGTACCTCTGTCCCTGAAACTACTAACTTACTAAGGCCGAATCGTCAGCATATAATAAAAGCTTGACTTTACCTGCCTTTGCCATGTCATTAACATTAATCAGAAATATCAGAGGACCCAAAATCGATCCTTGTAGAGCGTCAGTTCAGTGCATATATTACCAGGAGTGTATAATATAGAGATCTAATTTATATAACTAGAATTAGTGTTGGAGATCGGTCCAAATTTCATGATCGATCATCGGTTTTACAAAACGACCGATGATCGATTAATCATCGATCATTTTAAATTGCGGCGACGACGCGGTGACTCCGCATCATCGTCAACACAACCGGTGTATTGCGAAGGAATATTGACATTATTGTATGTGTAGCTAGTATTTAATGGTAAGTAAATTAAGGATACTGTTAGCAGTGCCTGAAATGGACGGTCGCCCACTCGCCACAGGCGACCAATGTCTAGCTCGGGCGACCGAAAATTGCACAAGTCAAGTAGTCAGTTGCCCCCCAAAAAAAAGTTTGGGCGACTGCCAATATTTCAACACATAAACAATTTTACTGATATGTTTGAGTTGTTCTTTGTTTACTATTAAACTAATCATAATCCTAAACTGGAGTCCATGCTAGGATACAATCAGACCAAGCTCGCGCATTTTTGTTCCGACCGAGCTTGCTGACGGCGGGGTAGACTGGTAGTCTTCGACTCTCCCGCTATACACTGCAAACATACATGTCTAGATGGGTTGTCTGGCTAGCTTGATACAATGTATAACATCACATTTATGTACATGTATCGCTGACCTGAGCTTACCCTGATCGTCCACGCTTGCTTATACGCTTGTATGCTATGCCCGCTGTATAACGCTAGTGTGGCATAGTAATGGATAAATTATGCTAGCAGTGAGACCGGTGAGAATCAGGGTGCCTAGCTGAGCCCGTTCAGATCGCGCGCACTCGCTCTATGTGCACCGGCTCAGATGCGCTGCTGTATAAAATTTGGGCCTCTAACAATGCATTTGGTCCAGTGACTAAAAAAATGGTTAGCATGCGCATTCGGCGCGTGCGTTTAGCCATAGATGTGTTTGTATATATATCTACTAGAGGCCAACAGCCACTCCGTGGCAGCGATGAAGGGCCCACGATGAAGGGCCATGATGGGGGAATTGATTTTCAGTTGAATTTTTTTGGATTTTGTGGGTTTTTTGGGGGGGAATTTTTGGGTTTTTCTGATTTTTTGGGGTTTTTGGATTTTTTGTTTTTTTGAGGGGTTTTGGATATCTGCGATCTCTTTCCCTCCCTCCCTCTATCTGTGGACCCTGCGCTCTATATGCCCATCGTGATTGAACTGTTGTATGCAATGTGAATGTGCCATGTTAGGAATGAATTGAGAATAAGACCGACATGATATTGTGTATAAATCCAAAAAAAGCAAAAAAAAATGAAAAATCCAAACAATCCAAAATCCGAAATGTCTGTGTTATTGTGAATTCATTCCTAACCTGGCACAGTCAGATTGCATAGAAGAGTTAAGGCACTAACAAAATACCCATATACCCAATATGCTTGTCCACAGACAGACGGACGGACGGACGGACGGACGGACAGAGATCGCAGATATATATATATATAGATGGTTTAGCTCAGTCAGATACGTGAGTCTCCCGCGAAATGCGTGAGACTTGGTAGGTCTGCTAACAGTAACAGAGTAAGATTTAAACTAAAAGGTGAAATTTTATTTTCAGGGTGCCGCAAATGCAGTCTAAGACATTCAAATTTTTACAATTTTGCAGAACCCCCTCTACCTTCCCCTCCCGCGTCTGCCTGCAGAATCAACATTCGTGGCTATTCATTTCATGACGGTATTACAATTTAATGTGAATACTTGTATCATTTTCATATTCATAGTTTATTTGTTCTTTTTGACAAATTGAAAAAGAGATTCAAGAGTCTCATACAATGTGTTCAGAATAGCTTAGAATGCATTAAATTGCACCATTTTTTTCAGGATTTCCAGGGGAGCATGGCCCCGCACCCCCCTAGGTGGGCAAGCTCCTATGGTGCTCGCTTTGCTAGTATAGGCCATCAAGAACCGCAGACACGCCTTTGATTCCATTATGCGCGTTTTTTCCCCAAACCGGCCATTACCTCCGTTGTCTAATTTTCCCTCAGAAGAAACCCTGCTCCTTCATTATTATTTACTCCTGGCTATATCATATGGGTAACTAATCTGTAATTAATAATTAATCATCTAAAGTTGATTGATTACAAAATTTTAAATATATTAAAATCGTGTGTTATGCGTGCGGCTTCGTGTAGCTTACCTAGCCATCTGAGACTGATAGCCAGCAGCGGCACCATCGGTATGGTCACTCAGGCTAGACCAGTTTGTGTGTGTTTTTAGCTCATCGGACATAGTCAGATGCAGCTTGTAGAAACGGACGTTTTCCGTCCGTGCGTCCGTCAACAGTATGGCACAAATCTAAACCGCTTGCCGTATGGTCTTGATGTTCGGGACATAGCCCTGGGGGAACGCGAATAGGACTTGGGGTGCCGAATCTGTGGTCAAGGGTCAAAGGTGACGATGTGCCAATGGAGGGGGAATATTTACTCATTAACTTAAGGTATTGGAGGAGACATTTTTGTGTCTGTCCGTCAACCATATGGCACAAATCTAAACTGCTTGTGTACGGTCTTGATATTCGGGACGTAGGGGGGAACGCGAAAAGGACATGGGATGTCGAATCTAGGGTCAAGAGTCAATGGGCACAATGTGTCAACGGAGGGGGAATATTCCTTCCTTAACTTAAGGTTGTGGCACACAGCTCAACGGCTCGACCTATGCTCTTGATATTCGGTATATAGAGTCATGGGCAGGAAACGCATCACCCCGCGAAATTAGAGGTCACAGGTCAAAGGGCAGTGGGGGAAAGGTCATATCTTCGAAATTTTCTGAGAACATGGTCTAACGGACCGAGTGCAAAACTTTTTTGTTTCAGCGCTGACCTACCATTTTCATGACTTTATTGAAAGGACCATGAAATGTACTTTGCACTGATGTGCGAAGAGTAAGTGTCTGGTGACATTTTGACCCTCAAGAGGAGGGTTAAACATTGATTTGTTGACCGTTAAGAAAGGACTGAACTGTGTTTGATGGTACGTGCGTGATCGTGGAAGACTTAAATTTCACAGTGAATTTCTGCAAGTAAAACTTACTTGACCAACGTTTACGTGCGTTAAATCATATATGAACTTCATTCTCTGCATGAGATTCTGTACATTGGGAATACAATGTCAATAGCACTTGCGCAAAAGTCTGTTTTGGCATCGAGGGCATCTATGAAACTATAGTTGAGCGGCAGTCTACTTGACAATGTTACCACGAGTATACTCGTGATCCACGGACGTGCGTTTTAATTGTTCGACCGAGTGTACTCATGTTGCGTGTGGAGTATTATTCGTGATGTTTTAGTGTCATTCCCGCAGCAAATGAATCTGACTTCAACTCTTTGTGAGGCAGGGGAAGTTATCCGGGGTCTATATTTTCTGTCCGCAGGAAAGCAGACGACCGAAAGAGGAACTTGCATCGGGGAGGAAAGTGAGAGAGGAAACTGCATCGAGGAGGAAAGGGAGAGAGGAACCTGCATTGGGGAGAAATAGTTATCTCGATCACCGCCCTCTCGATGGAACCTTCTCCTCTTCCTTCTGCTTCTTCTTCTTCTCTGAAACCGTTCGCGTATGACACGTGCGGGTACCGATGTTCCCAGAGTCAGCAGTTGAAGGAGCACATGCGCACGCACACGGGAGAGAAACCGTACGAGTGCGACATATGTGGCTCCGCCTACACCACCTCCAGCGACCTCAAGAAGCACTTTCTCACGCACACGGGCCAGAAACCGCACGCGTGCGACATATGTGGCTCCGCCTACGCCACCTCCGGCACCCTCAAGAGGCACTTTCTCACGCACACGGGAGAGAAACCTTACGCGTGCGACGCGTGCGAGTACAGGACGAGCGACCGCGGCACCCTGAAAAAGCACATGCGAACACACACGGGAGAGAAACCGTACGCGTGCGACGCATGCGAGTACAGGACGAGCGAGCGCGGCACCCTGAAAAAGCACATGCGAACGCACACGGGAGAGAAACCGTATGCGTGCGATGTATGTGAGTACAGGTGTTCGCAGCGGGTGAGTCTCCAGAGCCACGCGCGCACGCACACGGGAGAGAAACCGTACGCGTGCGACGCATGCGAGTATAGGACGAGCGAGCGCGGCACCCTGAAAAAGCACATGCGAACGCACACGGGAGAGAAACCGTATGCGTGCGATGTATGTGAGTACAGGAGTTTGCAGCGGGGGAGTCTCCAGACCCACGCGCGCACGCACACGGGAGAGAAACCGTACGCGTGCGACACATGCGGCTCCGCCTACAACTGCTCCAGCAGCCTCAAGACGCACTTTCTCACGCACACGGGAGAGAAACCTTACGCGTGCGATGCGTGCGAGTACAGGACGAGCGACCGCGACACCCTGAAAAAGCACATGCGAACACACACGGAAGAGAAACCGTATGCGTGCGATGTATGTGAGTACAGGTGTTCGCAGCGGGTGAGTCTCCAGACCCACGCGCGCACGCACACGGGAGAGAAACCGTNAGAAACCGTACGCGTGCGATGTATGTGAGTACAGGTGTTCGCAGCCGGCGAGTCTCCAGATCCACGCGCGCACGCACACGGGAAAGAAACCGTACGCGTGCGACATATGCGGTTACACCTGCACCAGCTCCGGCAACCTCAAGACGCACTTTCGCACGCACACGGGCCAGAAACCGTATGCGTGCGATATATGCGAGTACAGGTGTTCGCAGCCGGCGAGTCTCCAGATCCACGCGCGCACGCACACGGGAAAGAAACCGTACGCGTGCGACATATGCGGTTACACCTGCACCAGCTCCGGGCACCTCAAGACGCACTTTCGCACACACACGGGCCAGAAACCGTATGCGTGCGATGTATGCGAGTACAGGAGTTCGCAGCTGGTGACTCTCCAGATCCACACGCGCACGCACACGGGAGAGAAACCTTACGCGTGCGACATATGCGGTTACACCTGCACCAGCTCCGGCAACCTCAAGACGCACTTTCGCACGCACACGGGCCAGAAACCGTATGCGTGCGATATATGCGAGTACAGGAGTTCTCAGCGGGTGAGTCTCCAGATCCACACGCGCACGCACACGGGAGAGAAACCTTACGCGTGCGACATATGCGGTTACACCTGCACCACCTCCAGCGATCTCAAGAGGCACGCGCGCACGCACACCGGGCAGAAACCGTACACGTGTGACATCTGCTCTTTCGGGTTCGTATCCTCGAGCGCGCTCTCGAAACACAAGCGCACGCAGTCGCATCAAAGAAAAGCCATGTACAATCAATCGTGAGGGATGTGATGGACTGGTCTGCGGGTTAAACAGCTAATTTGTCAGACATTAAACGTGTGGATACGGATGCACTCTCTCCAGTAGACTCGAGAGACGTGCACTCAGGCTTGTATAAGAGAAGAAATCCTGAAAGGGGATGTGCATGCAATCAGGGCTGATGTGACTGACAATCTACCGATTAAACAGCTAATTCGTCAGACATTAAAGGTGTGGATATGGATGCACTCTCTCCAGTAGACTTCAGTGACGTACATGCTCAGGCTCATGCGAGAGAGGAAATCCCGGAAGCCCCAGATCTGGATGTGGGAGGCTGAGTTGGAAGATGGACTTGTCTTCGAATAATCCCTGCACCGGAGGAATGAGGCGATTGTTGTTTCGGACACTGGTGTCACGTTTTTTCTGTTTTGACCCACCTACCCGTGCATTCGTTTTAAATTGCCTACGTCACGAATTGTCTTTCGTGTAAATTTGTAAACAAAAATGGTTGCAATTTTTTTACATGAAAAGGAAGTACTAACGGCACTAAATGTATCCTCAAATTCTTATCTGATAGGATTGTTTCTCAACTAGAAACAAATCTGGGGGATTTGATATAATTATTGTTCAGGACATTAAATGCTTGCGATTGGCTAGCCTATGTACGAGTCACAAGTGTTTGTTTACATCGAACGATATAGCAAAATAGGAAGTATAATGCAGCAATTTAACCATAAAAAGTGAACGAAATCACTTACATTTTGGAAGAAGAAGTGGACATTTGGAACAGTTTTGAATGTGTACGTAATCACTTTAAATGTGTGAATGCAGTGTGGGATCTGTCGGCCCAGTAGTCTCAGCAGACAATTCAGAGATGCATTGCGGCAGTCAGACGAGGCAGGTTTTGGCTTAATATGGCAGTGGCAGCATTCTGGATTTTGAAATAGGGAGGCGCGAAACCGCATAGCCAGCGAATTATGGCGAGACTCTAGACAGTACACGCTCTGTAAACAGCGTCTGTGTTCGATTTAAGTTTATTTTGCAACATATAATATTCGTAACAAGCAAAGACAGTCGTGGAATCTGTATTCGAAACTGTCTCAAGAAACACGAGAATATATAACACCTACCATAATGGTCTGGGGTGAATGCCCCACCCCGCGGAATGTTCACTCTCCTTAGTATATGTTGCCCTTGTGTTTCCCTGCCAGAATTTTCTTTTTTCAATAGTTGCCACGGCAGTGCGTGCTGCCGTGACGTCCACTCGGCCCTGCACAAATATAAAAATTCCAAGCGTAGCCCTTTGCCATGGGGCTCCCAGCACCATGGTCGCCACGGTGCCATGGCAGAGCCCAGTTTTCTTATTATTGCTGTCTTAAAAATCTCATAAATTAAAATCAATGTGTACATCTAATAAGAATAATATGTGGTGATGTAATATTCTTTTGCAATAAGCATAATAATATAATACTATCATATTCTACACCATCAATGACTACTGTTTCAGTCTTAATTTGCACCCTGTGGAAGGCCGAAGAAGTTTATTTAATGAGTCTACGCGCTATTTGCTCCCCAATCGTGCACATTTTTCATTTACATACTTTCTTTGATATCTTGTAATTTTCAAGTAATATTTAAAATTAAATGTATGCGTTTTTAATTTTGATAAACTTTCTCAATAAGTCAGTTCTTTAACTTTTTTCTTGTTATTTGTGCACAGCGGCGTGGGTGCGCGCGGTGTACTTGTGTGTTGCAGAGGAGCATTTTAATGGCATTTACAGGAAATTATCGGCAATAATAGGCGAAAGAGAGTAGAGAAACATTAAGACTTTGGTAGTAAATACATTTCGTGTTTATTTAGCATTATTTTTGTTATTGAGACGCCTCAAGTGCCTGTGGATAGAAGTATGATAGATATAAGATATAAGATATAAGATATAAGATATAACAGTTTTATTTTTCGCTTACAACATAGAACAAGAATTTACAAGGCAAAATAGAAAAATAATACCGCGAAGGGATGGCGAAAAGACCATACGGTCATCCAGTCAGCCATCCCCTAGAAAATTATAATTTAAAAAGAAAGCGGGCAACTGTCGTTGAGCAGGAAGAGTAATCTATTAACATTATACTAGTAGTAGTAATAATTTAATATAAGATTTTAACTACAAGTAAACTTTAAAATTGAAACTGAACAAAGTGAAGAATAATACACATATGCAGATACAAAAATTAAATGATTCAAAATTGCTTAAACGTTATACAAGATTTACGCAGAGATAATTCCTGTGTCAAACAAACTTTGAGCATAAAGCTTACAGCAATGATAATATAAATAAACAATCTTGAATGTAAATTACAACAAAACAAGCTAAGTTAGTAAGTTTGTACGTTTGAGAAACGTCTATAATGTAATAAATATGTCTATAATGGAGCAATCTTTACAATACCATATTTAAATAAATTCATCCGAAAAAATTTCTAGTCATCTGACATAGATTACTTATTACTTGCTTATTATAATTAAAGTCAGTAAATGAACATATCGAAACGCAAGCAATTTAAAGATCAAAAAAACAACAACAAGCTTCAACACGTCAAGTTAGCGAACAATACATACTCTCCAAGTAAAGGAGTAAAGGAATAACTCAAGTTTTATGAGAAAAAAAAATGCATTTAAACAAAATTGCAATTATAACATTTTGTCCATACGTAACTTCTATAATAACATACATTTGACTTGACAAATAAAAACTGACATTAACTGTAACAATTGAGTTTAAAAAACAAAAAAAAAAACAAAAAACTGACAAACAATACATATGACTGTAAAGCAGCATTCAGTGCAAAACCATATTCAAATATAAACAATAGAAAAATGGAAGAAATCCTAAACATCATATATAACAATGAATGTATATAACAATTTATAGGAAAACTAGTAATTTACAGATCAAAAAACAACAACAAGCTAACAGTTAAGATTGTGAGCATTACATAAAATGCCAAGTAAAGGAATAACTTAGAAAAAACTTACCAAATTGAAAACAAATAACTGAATTTTGTCAAATTACCGCACTCGACTAAATGCTATGTAGAAAATGGTAACTTCATTAGCATATATTACAAGATGAAAGAATAGTCTAGGAAGCAGTTCTTCATTTAAACATGCATTTAGAAGAAATAAATAAATATCTTGTAGAAGTATTATTGGAAAAATACATGCCAGTGTTTCAACAATCGTGTAAAAAACTAGAAATGACATCGTGATAAACATAGAGAAATAGTAAATCACAACCCGGATATGTTCATCAAAAAGAGATATACTGATGTAGCATGTTGAATTTATATTTATAGATGAACTGTTTAATAGTATGTGATTTGTTAATTTCAGATAAGGCGTTCCAAAGTTTAACACCAGCCGATTTAATGGATTTAAAACCAGTATTCGTTGATACTCTAGGAGTAAAGTATAAATTGTTAGTTGATGCTCTTGTCTGGTAATGATGAGAGTCTGAAATTCTTTTAAAATAGTTACAGAATAATTCAGGGAGAATGCCTGCATTGAATTTAAACATAAATTTACCTAGCTCTAAATTATAAATGTCTGATTGTTTAAGCAGTTGCAATTCATAAAAGTAAGGGGTTGCATGATCCCTCCAGTTCGCAAATTTGATAAGTTTAACAATTTTGTTTTGAATAGTTTGCAGTGGTTTTAGAGTGGTTTTGTTGGCTGTACCCCAAGTCAAGACCGCATAGATTAAATAGGGATGGACCAGAGCATAATAAATAGTGCGAAGCATCTCTTGTGGTATATAGTGTCTTAATTTTGATATAATACCTGTTGATCGTGCCATTTTTGTTGCAATATGAGTAATATGATCTTTCCATGTGAGCCTATTGTCAATAAAAATTCCTAGATATTTTATACACAAAGTAGAAGGGAGGTAATGGTTACCCATTTTAACGTTAAAATTATTGTTCGTTTTATTTGAGTTAGAAATAATCATAAATTTGGTTTTTTTATAGTTGACCGAAAGCATATTTGCAGCCATCCATGTGTCAATTTTTTCGATATTAGTATTCACCGAGTGTTGCAAAACATTGAGGTTACTGTTTGACATAAATAAATTTGTATCGTCAGCAAATAGTCTGGTGCAAAAATCTGAAGCGTTTGGGAGATCATTAATATAAATAAGAAAGAGTAGTGGACCCAGAGTTGATCCTTGCGGGACACCACAAGTCATTTCTGCCAAGTTTGATTTGTGTGAATTTATGCATGTATAGTGATGACGATTAGACAGGTATGATCGAAAAAAATCTAGAGTTAAACCTCTAATACCGTAATGTTCCAGTTTGGCGATTAAGATGTTATGATTAACCGTGTCGAAGGCTTTGGATAGATCCAAAAAAATACAGCAAGTATGTAGTCGAGAGTCTAATGCATTAACCAGATTATCGAAGATTTCAGCTGTAGCTAGTGCAGTGGAGTAGTTCTTGCGAAACCCAAATTGATATTTACTAATTACGTTATTCTGATTTAGAAAGTTAGTCAGTCGATGATAAATTAATTTTTCAAAAATTTTTGATAGTAGTGATAAGAGAGATATAGGGCGATAGTTAGATGGTTCGTTATGTGCACCTGTTTTATGTAACGGAATTATTTTAGCTATTTTGAGTTGATTTGGGAATTTTCCACTAATGATAGACGAATTAAACAGAGTAGTTAAGACTGGAGAAATGATGAGTGCAGCTGACTTGTAAAACTTTGACTTAAACTTAAACTTAAACTTGTTGACTTGTAAACGGGAATTTCATCAGGCCCAGTTGCTTTATTGGTACTCATACTTTTGAACGTAGAGACTACTTCTTCATTTACAATAGGAGTCAAAAAGATGGAGTTTGTAACTGGATCAGATAAAAAGTTCTGAAAAGGAGTGTCTACCTTTTTAATTTTGTTGGACATGGATGTACCAATGCTTTGAAAGTAATTATTAAATTTTTCAGTAATGGCCTTTGGACTAAAATTGGAGTTGTTGCCCGGTAGTTGCGTATCAGGAAGAACAGAAACTTTATTTTTCAACTTAATTATTTCGTTAATTGTAGTCCCCCCCCCCCCCCCCCCCCCCCCCCCCCCCCCCCCCCCCCCCCCCCCCCCCCCCCCCCCCCCCACGCCAAGGCGGGGCGGCCTTGGGTGGCTCGATCTTTGCTTTGCCCCCCCCCCCCCCCCCCCCCCCCCCCACGTTTTTTTTCACCCCCCCCCCCCCCCCCCCCCCCCCCCCCGTTCCAAAAAAAAAAAATAAAAACACAAACAAACCCCCCCGCCCGTGCTCATCCATCCTCATCTCATCCATCCAATCATCCATCATCATCCATCATCCATCCTCTCCATCATCCATCATCATCATCATCATCATCCTCTCTCCTCCATCATCCTTCATCATCACCTACCTCATCATCATATATATCTTCATCATCCATCCATCATTCCTCATTCTTCATCCTCATCCTCATCATCTCTCACGATCAGAGCATTTNCAACAATTAAAAATTAAATTTTATTAATTTAATAGAGTTAGGGT